TGCATTAAGCCATTAAAATTTATGATACATTACATATTATCTTTTATATGTAAAATGTATAGTTTTATCCTTAAATATCATACTTTTCATATTCAAAACTTGGGGTTTTATATTCTTAAATCATTTCTACATGTACATTTACTGTGATTTGACTCCTCTTAGGTAGAGGGATAAATGTTTAAACATTTCTTAAATGTCAAAACACTTTAAAATTTTGAAATGTTTAGAACTCACATATTATAAAGTGATGCAAAAATAAAAATAGCATTTTAAATAATTTTTAAAATTTCTACTTTAAAAGATTGATACTGAATGATCATTACTTTGAAAGAGTTATTTACATAAAGATCATTGTGTTATAATTCTGACATATACACCACACTAAAATTTTAACGTTTATCTAGGATTGCATCATTTGTTATTAATCAAAATCTGTCATGAACTATGGTTTGTGTGCAGGTACAACTGCAGAAAACAAGAAAATGCAACATTTGGTATCAGAGCTGCACAAGAAAATATAATTCACTAAGGAAGTTCATAGCACTAAATATCAGATAGTATGTGTAACACTGAAATATAAAATTCAGACAAATCAAGTGTTGATATATCTTTAACTATGCTATGACTTATGGTGAATATATAAAGAGATAGTTAATAAAAATATTTACATGTGATATTTTACCCTCAATTTTATGTGCATTTATTTATCTTAATAATGTTTTGCTATTGGTCTTTTCATTTAGAGGTTAAATCATGAAAAGATTAGAGATTAAGTAATTAGCCCCCAAACACTAAACTAGTATTAGTAGTATAATTTAATGAAGGCATAGAATTTTAATAAGGCATATCTATCTTTGAATAATGACATATTACCTAGAAAATAAACTCCAGAATGATAGGAGTTTTCATTCTTTGGTGATGTTCATGTGCCTTGAGCAGCCCAAGCACAAAGAAGACACTCTAAAAGACATTCTTGGAGTGAACGCACTTGTGCCTATTAGGCATGTTAATTGCTTTTTTTCTGCATGTGTGGGAGTTAAGTAATGATACCTACCACAATGAATTGKTGTAAGAATTAAGTAAGATGATACAGGAAATACACTGAGCACCTTTTTCTTAGCTGAATTTGAAAACAGTTGATATATATTGTTCTGGATATGAAGTTTGATAGGATATTCTTGCTCTTATTTAAAGGATTCATAAAAAATAAATCCAGGCCTCAGGTCAGGCAGGAACAAGGTAACACTTTTCAGCAGGTTTTTCACTGGTAACCTTCAAGTTATAAAAGAAAATGCCTCTAGTGGYGCTAATATAAGATGGATCCTGGTGGAATTCATTAATATTAATGTGTTAAGTGTGTGAAGGGAATTCTTAAATACTATAACACATTAACTCTTTTAATCCTCTTCGACAATTTTTAATGTACATCTTAAAAATGTGAAAAGAAAATAAGTAAAATTATTTTTAACAAAATATTTTTAAAAATAAATATAAATCATTATTATTTTTAATATTTAATCAATACAAAAATCATGGAGTTACTTTATATTGAAATTGTACCTAGTTTTGAAGTCATGTGCATTTTATTCTTATAGCATATCTGGATTAAGATGATAAATCTTCATATATGAATTTTTATCTACAGTTAGATTCCATAAAATTTGTTTGAATAATAGATTCACATACTCAAGGTATTCCAAACACACTGATAAAACCTCCAGCAACTGAATACAGTACGAATTTTAAAATATACTTCAATTGTGCTGGTCATATTGTATGTGCTTAATCATTGCATATGGCTAGTGGCTACAAAACTGCAAAGTAGAAATATATGGTACTACTAGAGAGCAAGGTAAGTAGAAAACATGATGTATAAGAGGTATATTCTGAATGCAAAAATGCATATATGACTCGTTAAAAGATGTTTGTCTTTTAATAGAACTTGAATATCATTATCCTCATGTATCCTGCGATGTAAAGAAATTATATTGATATTTTCTCAACTATGACAATTTTACTTTATCTGATTCATCAGCTTAGAGCTCTCAATTCTTCTCCAAGTTTTACATACGAAAATAATTTAATGATGATTATATAACTCACTCTACTACTAAGCATCTTTTTTTTGCTATAATTTTAAAAGATGGAATTCACAGTATACATGTTTGTGCATGTACTGGGAGTTTAGGTTTAGGGACCCAAGAAAGAAAAGTTAAAACAGTGAAATGTTTCATAGGCTTTAAGTTATAAAATCAGAATATTGTACAAGAGAATGTAAGTTAATTTTTGGATAAATCCAATTGAGGATTATCTATGTTTGCAATAATTAAGTAGTAAATTCTATAATAATTTATAAACATGAAAAACAGCACATATTTTTTAAATTGTGAAAAAGAAAAGTGATAAGAGTTCATCTAGAAGGTGCAAGTAGTTCACATTATTTTAGACTTTGCCAATAATGACTATTGTATTTATGATATTTTGGTATCTAGCAATTGCTATGGCTGGTTTAAATTTGGCACTCATCTAAATTTCCTCCCTTTCTTCCTGCCTTTGCTTTAGTATCCTAAGCTTGTAATTAATTTTTTTTCTATTTTCACACCACAAAATAGACAATGAATTTTGAAGTTTGTATGGATATATAATTGATGTTGACTGACAAGTAGAGATTGAACTACAAATTCTTTTTTTTTTTATAATTTGATGAATTGTTAAAAAGTCACCACTCTATTACCTAGGAAAGCAAGAACAATCTCAAGTGCAAATTTATTCTTCTTGGACACTCAACTGGTTGAATATGGTGGTAATTTACAGAGAGAGGATTGTTATTTACTTTCAAATTTCCTCATTCTTAGGCAAGTGAGTACTCCATAAGCAGCATATCTCCCCGATATTCTGGGTACACTCTGACATTTCTAAAATAATTCAGGATGGAATTCTTGTCTCTAGAGCTAGAGTCTCTCAGGAGGATTCAATTATATATCTTTCACTTTTTATAAAACTCTTGGGTTTTGAAAGATCCAAATAACTCCTAGGCGGGACTGAAGAAGGGTGATACTATTATCTCAACAGAATTTATAATACTAAAAAGCATGTATTTAAATACAGGTGCACTGTATTAACAATGACTGTGATTAATTCTGATGCTTAAAATGCACCACAAATTTCATTTATATTGTTAAACCATTTTTACAATAGATTATCTAAGAATATTGTTCGGATTTTTCAAAAATGCAAAAAAGGGAAAAAATAAAAATTAACAAATCACATAATTAGAATCACCTTCTTTTATGTAAGATGAACAATAATAATATCATTTGGAATTTAGATTTTACAACAAAGATAGTAATATATTCATTTAGTCTTGAATAAAGATAATTAATAAATATTTGCTTAATGTATGAAATATTGAATTTAGTTGCATTGAATTATTTGAATGGATCACCTTTAAATATGTTATAAAAATAAATACTTTTATCTCAACAATATTTTATACAGCATGATAAGTAAATATAACAGTAAAATATTTGCAATATTGAAACATAATTTTTTTAATTGATAATTTGCAAATCACTTAGGAAAACTAAATCTAATATGATGGTTACAATAGCAGAAAATGTGGACAAAGATAATTTATTAACTATGAACAAAATATCAGATTCATCATACATTTTCATTCTTACCAATAACCAACACAAAGGAAGAATTAAAAGAAGTCAATATACACAAACAAGTTTCTTTTTCCTCAATCATACATTTATTTTCAATTCAATCTAGAATTCCACTTGAATATAAAACAAGGTTTCCATCAGAACATTGTGATATTGGGAAACAAAAAGCTTCTTGTATAACTTTGGATCTGTTCTTTTGCTTCCAGCTAAAGACAACTTTGCATTTCTTTCATAACTCTATAGACTAAATTGTGTTTTCTATAATTTATAAAAATCGTACCATGTTGAATGATTTCTCTGGCTCTCTACCTTCAGTCACTATAATAATGTTATTGATGCATTTTTTCTTATACAGTATATTTGAACATACATAGAGTTGTCCCTCGGTATCTGCAGGGGATTGGTTCCAGGACCATACATACCAAAACCTATCAATGTTCATGTCTGTTATATAAAACGGCCCAGTATTTGCATCTAACAGATGCATGCCCTCTTGTATACTTCAGATCATCTCTAGATTATTTATAATACACAATATAATATAAATGCAATAAATATTTGTTATACTGTATTGTTTAGGGAATAATGACAAGAAAAAAAAGTTTGTATGTATATAGTTCAAATAGTTCAAATGCAATGCTTTTTTTGTTTTTTTTTTTTTTGTTTGTTTGTTTCCCTTGAGTATTTTCTCTCTGCATTTTGTTGAATCCATGGATACAGAATCTGTGAATAAAAGGGCTTACGTATATATTATGTATAGGACACTTTTTGATATTGCAATACTTATTATATGTGTATGTATGTATTTATATATTCTGTATTTCTTGATAGTTATTCCTATAGATGAAATCTCAATGGAGTTAGAGGTTGTGCCAGAACCATTTACCATTTTAATTCCAGTTCCTTACAGAGTGATTGACACATAATAAGAAATAAGTACCTGGTAAAGTTATTATTGATGCTTTTACTTATAAAGCTTCATATCCACTTATAATTTTTTGTTAATTTGTGACAAGTTTTATTAAAGAAATTATTTGCATAGCTTACTTTTGACCTCTCTGTTCTGGTGTTTTTAATATTACAATCACCTGGAAAATGAAAGTAGTAATTTTACAATACATTTAATGGCAGTTGGTAGTCTCTAAATATCCTTATTTTGATTATACATGATTCAGCACTGATTAGCACTGCTCATTTGAAATTAGTACTGTTTATTTGAAAGTTATGACCATAGGTGTACTATCATTTGTCTTAAGGTTAATCAAAGGTAACCTAGAATCATAGACATTATATAATCAAACAAAACATTCAGGATATAAGTCAGATCTGGTATATCACCAGCATTTGTAAAACTAGACCTATAAATATAACTAGGTCTGGAGACATATGTATATTATTAATATAGCAAATGCTTAGCCTGTTCTGATTATTACAAAATCAGAACAATGAGAATATTCATAACAAATATAATTATTTTCTAAAGATAAATTTCAATATATGAAATTATCTATTTCAAAAGTCAGGACCAATTAAAAGAAACAATAAATAAGCAGAAGGAAGACAAGTAGAGTAGAGGAAGGGGAACAGGGCAGGAGGAGTGGGGAAGAAAGAGGAAGCACTGGGGATTTCAGTGAAACAAAATTGCATTTCATGCATATATGGTTATGTCAAAACAAACCTCATTATTATACATAACTATATATCACTAATAAGAACATGAAAAAGGCAGAACCAACAGTTCTCCACTAACAGATGAAGTGATATAAACATGTAGTATAACCTTCCAAGAAGTTTTGGCATGAAGTTGAGAAGAGTTTAAGTAAATAAGTAACAGGACACATGATTTGAAGACAATTTGGGTTTGTGTTGAAGGATTGTGTGTGGTGCAAGTGCAGGAGATTATTCATTTATTTATCAGCTCTCTGTATTTTTGCTCAAAAAWTAGGAATATGAAGCAATACTTGTATATGGAAGACACCAATAAAGACATACCAGTATGCTAAGCATGCTAGTATTCTGTTTATTAGAATGTTATAATAATAGATGTTAGTTGTGTTTTTTTACTTTGTACCCTATTTTAAGTTCTTTTAATTTTCTACAGTAAAAATAAGTTATTTTTATAATAGGAAAACTCAGGCCAATTTAAATTAAATTTACTCRAATGTATAGTTGTATTTATATTTATTTCCTTATAAATTGAAAGTGTGCCTGGTAATTATTTGAGTTTGATTGGAACTAAAACATCTGGAAGGCTATCCAAAAGATAAGGGATACAAATGGCCAATAAATAAGAAAAATGCTCAGTCTCTCTAATAAACAAAGGAACATAAAATTAGATTAAATAATTACAAAGTACTATTTTAACCTAACAAATTATTCATAAAATAAATGCATTCCCTTTCTTATGTGATAGCTATTTCCATGATTTTAAAAATATTTATATTTATTATTCTTGTTATAATGTTAGAAATACAGTAAAATCCTTTTCTAATAAATGTTTACAATAAATTGTTTGGTAGAAAAAGGAAACAAATACATGTATATGTAAGAACATATTAATATCAGCAATCTCCATTTGACAAGAGTGCTGAATATTTTATTTTTTCATTCATATTTCTGTTATTTTTGCCAAGTTTTAAAATAATATATGCTGTGCTAAATTACAGAACAAAATCTGAAAATTTATTTTAATGTATTTAAAGTGATGTCCCTCACATCTGTGGTATCACACACTTGTGTGATTATATGGCAATATCTTACAGGTCATAAATATTATTACACAATCAATAGTCTGTTTAAAATATTTCTTCTGTGTTCTGATATGAATACCAGAATACATGTATGTTTTTGATTTCTAGAAAATTACTTATGCATGTCTCATTTTTCTTATCTTAATAATAAGACAGATACTAACATTATTAAAACAATGAACTCAAAATAAAATTGAACTAGTTTTAATTATAATAAGCATTTATTGAATATTTATTAATATTCTGGAATGAGTCTAAATGCTTTGTGAGGTTTATTTCAATTAGTTCAAATTTAAACTGTTTGAGATAGCAAACTCATGTTATATGTTTAAATACTGCTATTTCCAAAACCTTTCTATTTTCTCAAAGTCAGAGTCAATATAAGATAAAACTAGTATTCACTTTACATAGTCTAATTTGAGTTCCCCTGAAATTAGGCTCTTTTTGAATAGCCCCAACAAAAATTTTGTTGGCCATGTGTAATATACTCATTCTTCCTGGTAGACATTTTTTAATGCTTCTTGAGCTTCCTGGCTTAGATATTTCTMTCTCTCTCTCTCATATATGGTTATATAGTTATTTAGTTAAATATATATAGTTTTGATGAGGAATGATGTTAATAATTTTGTTACCTAGAAAATTACAGATGCTCACAGAAATTCTGCTCTCTGTAGTGATGGAAGATAACTCAAATTGTACAGTAAGAAAAAAAGTTACAAGAATTGGTAACTATTCATAATATGGTTTTTATTTTTTCCTAAATTTAACTTATGTTCACTTGACTGGTGTCCACTTGACTAGTCATTATTCAATTTTTTTTAACATAAAACACTATTCTAGATGTTTCTGTGAAGGTATTTTGAGGATRTAATTAATACAGTCATTTTACTTTAAGTAAAGCAAATATGACTCCATAATGAGGGTGAGACTCCTCTAACCWGTTTAAGGTCTTAAGAGCAAAAATCAAGGTTTATCAAGGATCAAGAAATTTTTGCCTCAATACTAAAACAGAAATCTTATCTGAATTTCCAGGCTTCTGGCCTCCCCTATGTAGTTAGGACTTGCTACCTTTGACAATCCCATGAGCCAATCCTTTAATCTTTGAGATCTCAATCTCTCTCTCTCTCTCTCTCTCTCTCTCTCTATTTTTCTGGAGAATACTGACACAATTCTACAAGGATTACTAAATTCACTTAGTGTTATAATCTCTTATTTTTTCATTCTTTGTTGTGGAGTTTCGACTTTTTCAACACAATTTCATATACAGAAGAATAAGAATATCAACCCTGGTCATGCACTTGTCCTAACTTCCTTTTATAGGGAAAATAGAACTCCTAGAATAACTAAATACAAAACAAAACAAGAAAAATAATGAAAAATGCTGAGAATTTTAGTCATCTTTCTATTACTGTAATAAAATGGAGACAAGAGAGACAACCCATTAAGAGAAAAGGCTATTTGGGGGGACAAAAGTCTGTTTTCAGGTTTGGGGAGGTTTCAATTCATAGTTGGCCCCATTACTGTTAGGCCTGTGGTGAGACAGCACAAGAGGGCAAGGAGACTGTGGCAGAGCAAGGTGCTCACCTCATGGTACACAGGTAACAAAGAGGGAGCAGAAGAAACCTGAGTCCCTTCATCTGTTTCCAGGGCATGCTCTTAGTCACCTCAGACACCTCAGTAGGCCCTACCTCTTAAAGTTTCTACCGTCTTCCAGTAACACCAAACTCAGRACAATTCCTAAAAAGCATGTGCCTCTGGGGACTATGACACTAAGCTTTTCTGAATCTAACATGGAATGAATTTTTATAAACTTTATTGCTTACTCTACTTGGGTTAGTAAATTTACTTAGTGTTATAAGCTCTTATTTTTTCATTCTTTGTTGTGGAATTTCAGGGACTCCATATTGAAAGCAAACAATATCTATGGCTTTCTAATATTTCTCTTTATTTCTGCATAAATTTGTCTCATCTTTGCTTTCAATGTTTCCTAGGACTCTGTTGATTGCAAATATTATCAGATATCAAATATTATCAAATTTTATTCATATTGAGTAGTGAAAAAATGACCCTTGTATTACTCCTTGCTACTAATGTTAAATTTATATGAATGCATGTTTTGTGAAAGTTTGAAAAATATATATTTACTTATTCAAAAATAATTATCATGGAGAAAAAGATTAAATTTTCCTTTGCATTCAAGTTAGAAATATTGTAAAAATCATACATAAAATATCAGTTCCTATATCACACTCAAGATTTGTCCATATCTATACTATTGAATGCTCTTACTTGAAAGCATAAACAATTATTTCAGAAAACCTCATTCATAATTATTTCACAAGAGGGAAAAAATAGAATGTGGGATAATTAATTAATTTACATTTCTAATTAATAATCAGGTATTAATATCAAATTATTAGAACTCCCAAATTTTATTTCCTTTTATAAGATTAATTTTAAACATTATTATAAAGGTTTTAATCATTAGGCATACTACATAGAGAAAAAGTTTCTGAAACATTAGCAATATTACCATAAAAACTGAAAATTAATTTATGATATTCACTTGGTATCATCACAAATTGCTAAGCTTAACTAACAGCACTAAGTGTTAGAAAATCAACATTGTATTTTCAATTTGTTTTTAATGGCTACTATACTTAATTATTTAGTAATTACTCTCATTATTTTATTATAAATTCAATAAGTGAGATGCACAAAAGTCATTTTAATCATCCCTGGGTTAAAACCCATTAAACTGAATGAAACTACTTTCCAGAGAGATTCAAATTCTTTTCTTCCTTTGTAGAAATATTTTTTAAATTTAAAATTCAAAAGAATCCTCCAAAATATTTCTTATGATGGCTTAGTGATTTCTAGTACAAATAAAATATATTTTWAAAAAATATGACTTTGCTGGTTGTTGGCTAAATCAATTGATCTGGTTATAAAATGCAAATGAGAATGAGTTGCACATTTCCAGGAAAATCTCCATATAGAGAGAAAGACCTGCAGACAGATAACAGATGAATATGCTTATCTGTATTGAAAAGATACAAAATCACTGAACATGTGCAGTTACATAGCCAGCAAAAAAATAAACAAAGCCAACGAAACTGGTGGAAGCCCTTAGGGAGTTGTCTGTTTGGGCAAAAGTATGTATTGGAAAGAGAGAAATATTTGAAATATATTTTAAAGTCCTGTACTTTTTAATAAAGTTCTTTCTTAAGAAAGTTATATATTCATTTTTATAAATTTTATTTTATAAAATAAATACTTAGTTGCCCATTTAAGACCTACTCATTAAATTGATTATTATATATTAATCCAATGATCAATAATATATTTTTAGTTTTTGGTTTAAAGTCATTATTATAAAGCATGAATGATCAGATGAAGAATATGCAATGAAGTGGTATAATATATTAAATTCAATAAAATAAGCAAATGAAGAATACACAATTAAATGATTTTCAGACCATTGGCAAACCTTCTGCACGACTTCATCAATGACTTTTCTCCCACCTAAATGGTTTTATTATCAAAAACACACAAAATCCTCTCTGAATAACCATTTGATTCTATATGATCCCACAGTTACATGTTAGTCCACATCCAAGGATTTAATCTTACATAGATTTTAAGAACCACTTTTTAAATTCCTTTCATCTCAGGAATTAGTTACATGGTACTATGCTCTTGTGTTTTTGT